GCATTCTGCCTTGCGATATTTCCGTCGGTCCCGTAGAGACATTCTGTTCTGTTCACCAAGACACGTCACGAAACCAACAGTTACATCTGAAGTTTATAGTTTGCGTTGCAAACAACTCTTCGCCCTCTTTCAGCGTTGTCATCGATGCAGACAGACGGCCTCACGGTGAGAATGAGCGTCGCTTCAATACTCCTGCATGTAATGAAGTCGCCGCAGTCATCCACGGTTGTCATAAGGTACCGGGGCGGTGGTCTGCGCCGCATCAGTGAAACCCACTGTTCATACGACTGTCTCCAGTACCCCTTTCTTTTTCCATACGGAAGCGATGGGTACCACTTCAAAATCCCAATATACCAGGCAAGCAGCGATTCCATGTCGACCTCAAAGACTACTACGCCCACATGTTTATGGTTAGGGAGGGTGAATTTAACCACTTGCACAGGTGCCGTCAACTATTTCTTCAATTCGCTGTTGACATGGCTGCAAAAATGGAGTCGAAGAGGTTAGGATTCATCAAGTTAAACCAATCCAAACTTAGAACCGACTCCTACATTCACCTTCGTGATGGTCTGTGTTCTGATGGTCAGCCACGCAATCTCGGCAAACCGTGCATTTTGCCTTCCGCTTACACTTGTGGCCCTCGATACATGCATGAAAGGACACAATACGCAAAGACCTGTCTGTCATTACGGGAGGCCTGATTTGTTCGTCACGTTCACGTGCAATCCAGAATGGGTTGAAATCACACGCGAACTTTTTCCAAGCCAGCAGTACTCACACCACCCTGACCTAATTGCCCGCGTTTTCCGGTTACAGCTGTATAAGCTTATGGATTTAATCCTTAAAGGACAAGTCTTCGGACGCGTTGTCATATGTGGAATGGCAGAAACGCGGTTTGCCTCATGCCCACATTCTGTTGTGGCTCAACGATAAGGTTGACGCAAACAAAATAGACGATTTTATTTCTGCTGAAATTCCGGCTCCTGCGCTGGATCCTTTGCTCCACGAAATCATTAAGAACAATATGATACACGGCCCCTGTGGCGCAAATTATGAAAAAAGGTCATGTTGGTCAAGTGACGGATGGTTACCCACTGTACAGACGTAGAAGCTCCACTGAGGGCGGCAGAACTGTGACAGTTAAGGGGCACACTCTGGACAATCGTTGGGTGGTGCCTTATTGCCCACTGCTGTCCAAGACATTTGGAGCTGACATAAACGTTGAATACTGCCACTCGGTTAAGTCAATAAAGTACATCTGCAAGTACGTTAATAAAGGCAGCATTCGGTATCCGGTGCGACAATTGCGTTGACGAGGTGGTCGATTACGTGGCTGGACGCTATTTCAGCAGTAGCGAGGCCTTTTGGCGAATTTTCGTATTCCCTATACACCAAATGGCTCCAGCCATTGTGCAGCTTGCTGTTCACTTAGAAAATAGACACAGGATGTACTTCACCGAACAAAACGCCCAGCAGGTTGCGGAAAACCCTAACGACACAACCCTAACGGCTTTCTTTAAATTATGCTCAATAGATGCTTTTGCCAAAACATTGATATACGCCTAAGTCTCGTCCTACTACGTTTGGTCAAACAACCTGTGGGTTCGGCGAAAGGCTGGCGACCCTGTCGAGGGTTATCCCGATGTAAGGTCTAACTATTGCCTTGGACGCGTTTATACTGTGCCCCTCCCCACAGTCAGCAGGAGTGCTTTTATCTCCACCTTCTACTTGAAATTGCTGGGCCAACGAGTTTCACAGATATTCGCACTGTCAACAGCATAGAGTGCCAGTCTTATAGAGAGGCATGCTTCCGTTTGGGATTGTTTAAAGACGACTGCACAATGAGATGCAGTCATGGCGGAGGGTGAATTTTTCAGAACGCCATCACGGTTTCGAACGCTGTTCGCCATGTTGCTTTTGCGATGCGAACTAAGCGACCCTCTGTCGCTCTGGCTAAAGTACAGAGAATCCGAATTAGGGGATGTGCTGTTCTCCGTTCAGCGTAACAGCCCAGGAGTTTGAATGCGGTTTCACTGACTTCATATTCAACAGAGCGCTGGTGGACCAGAAGATGTTGTTTTCGAACTGGCTGGTGCTCTTTACCAACTTACGGTTTACCACCACCGCTCAGAGACGGTTTTGACACTGTACCAAGTGAGTTATTGCGGGAAACATCCTACTCCATCGAGGAGCTGAACGCATATATTACCGAAAAAACGAGCCCAAACTTCTACCTGATCAGGGGTTGCTTACCACCATAACAGACAGGGCAAACGGCTCCAGTGGAGGTATATACTTTTAGATGCGCCCGGAGGAACTGGCAAAACTTTTTTGTTACTAACTTAGTCCTGGCAGAGGTACGGCGTCGTGGGGAGATCGCTGTTGCAGTCGCATCTTCCGGGATTGCTGCTGCATTGCTACCGGGTGTAGAACCGCTCATTCGGCTTTTAGGTTGCCGCTTGTTCTATGCCGGTCACAAACTGGCCTCTGTAACATAACA